AAAATACTTAATGAGACATTATAATCCAAGTAAAAAATACTTGTTAGAAATATTTATTTATTTTATCATAAATATTAGTCTATATTTTAATAATATTTCGAATAAAACTGTATATAAAATATATATGAAATATTTATATAACATTAAAAAAAATGAATTTTAATAAATATTTATCATAAATATTCTGTACTGTCTGGGTTATTCAATATGTTTTTTCATTCAGATGATATTCGTAAGTCTTTTTATTGGAAATACGTGTTTTTTGCAACCTTGTTGAATTACGTCAGCAATTAATGATGAGAAATTATATATACGTATTTTTTCCTTTTGCATTCTGGATTTTTTAATTTTTGAAAGAGATTTGAATTAACAAATATAGTTATATTTTAAGATTGAAATACAGTCGCGCGATTATAGATTACATTTAAACGGCCATCTGTCATCATAAATATATGCGGTGCGATAATAGATATATTAGTATAAGCGCGCACTTCAGCGCTTAAACGTAGTCCATAATTGTCCATAATTAAAGCTTTATTATTTCATAAACTATCGTTTAAAATAAAAATTTACAAATAACTTTTTGAAAGCTTAATTTTTTGAAAAAGCTTTCTTACTGTAGTATATTGAATTGTGAATTTTGGAACATCCTATATAGTATAATATTTCTGAAAAAAATTGTACAATTAATATTATCTTATACAATTAATCTTATACATATATTATATTTGACTCATATGTTTTAATTTAGCCACTTAAAATCTTTTATATTTGTATATATTTTATATGCAGAATTATTAATTAAAGGAATATTTTATTAAAAAATCATATAATTCTATAAAAATATAGCAGTGATATTGATGATCTTAAAAAAACATTTGATATGTTTAAAAATTTTTTTTCGTTTTTCTTTTTTCTTTCTTTTATTTTTATCTGTATTCAAATTGACAATTATATTCTCGATACGGGGGAGCTCACTATGACAAATTAATCTTTGTTACTTTTTATATACGTGAATGTATGTTGTCTCTGAAGAAGGCTAAAAAATGAGCCGAAACACGTAAGCGCGTTTATCAAATAAAGAAGTTTTTTACGCTTTATAGTCGTATTATTTGCGCAACGTTTTCCGCGTTTTGACTCCTATTGCCCATGCTCTTTCTTGATTCTTTTGAAAAATTAATTTTTTTCGAAATACAATTTTTGTCTAAAAAATTTCCTTCTAAAATTTTAGGAAAGTTATATCTGAGTAGATAAATTATAATGAGCAAAAAATGAACACAAAGCAAATTGCTACATGATTTATGCTAAAATTACAAATATTGCATAATTGTAAAATCAAGGCTAAAATTTGTTCAAATTGTTTAAGTTGTCGTCCTGTATAGAATGATAATGTTAATAATTCATACACACTCTGTCCAAGCTATATTACAGATATTAAATTGAAATTATTACAAACTCAATCGGCTAACACTGATATCACATTCACTTTATGCTCAGCACACAAGAACATTAGAGGAAATTATTGACTTTGAGATTAAGAAGGTTGAATTTGATATGTTACATAATATAGAGTTGATCTTAAACAGGCGCTTGTTTGTTCTTATGAAAGGAATATTGTACATATATACATACACAGAGATCGATAAACGTTTTATTGACTCTGTTAATAGAAGTATGGCAATACTATGTCAAACCTACAAATTAATATTAAAACTTTTATGAAATTCAGATTCGAAGAAAAGAGTATTATGTATATGATTATAAGGATCATTACCAAAGATATAGAGAATGGACTGCGCGATCCGTATCTAATTGTAAGTAGTATTCAAATATGTTGACAATAATGAGAGAGAGGGACCGTTGAAGGCGGCCAATCTCCCTCTCATTTTCTCTCCCATTACACCGTTGAATGAAAAGAAATAGAGATGGCCGTCTTTCACGATCCCTCTCTCTTACTTTTATTGATCATTTTAACACACGGATCGCGCAGTCCATTCTCTATGATCATTACTAACTATGCTTTTGTGATTGTGATTGTGTTATTCAAGATCTCAATATCACAATTAAAAAATAAAAAGATCTCAAGTTTTTGGTCATGTAAAAAATGTATAGATAAGAGAAAGATACTTTAAAATGTTTTATTTAATTTCAGTAATATACATTATATGCACATATATTATATATTATACTATTCTTTATGTGATAAATCAAAAATATTAACAGGAACGTCGCTTATATTTTGTTAATTTTATCTTTAGTATATATCTTTAGTACATTTAATATATTTTAGTATATCTTTAGTATATATTTAGTATATTTAATATATTTTAGCTTTAGTATACATATATTTGATATAAAAAAGTCTTCTGGGCGTATAGGAAGTTTCTATATTGGCTCAACAAAGTACATCATCACCAGCTTCTACAAACAGAAGTGGCATTCAATTATTTTACGCTCGTGCACAACGTTCTTTGAATCAATAAAGATGGCCGATAGTAAAGTAATTTTAATTATTCTTGTCTGGGGAGACAAGACTTCAATTAATGAATAATTAAAATTACTTACTCTGGGGAGACAAGACTTCAATTAATGAATAATTAAAATTACAAATTTTGTTTTTTCCTTAGATTTATCATTATCAGCCGTCTTTGTTGATTCAAAGAACGATGTGCACGAGTGTATAATAATTAAATACTTGACTGTACGAGAGTCTCGTAGATATGCTGGAACGCTCATCGTGTTGAGTCAGTATAGAAACTTCCTACGCTCCGAGGAAGCAATCCACTGGATCTTACAAGGGAAGTTTCACAACTGTCCGGAACCGATTTGATTCTCCATGAAATATGTTATTAAAAACGAAAATCTAAGAGATACGTATTTTTTTATACGTGCCCTAACTCATGTTTAAGGGGTGAAACACCCCTTTGAAAAAAAAAACGGTATTTTTCTTTCGAGGCGAATATCATCGGAAGTATAAAAGATAGAAAAAATTTTTTAAACAAAAGTTGTACGGTTTCAAGAGTACTTCAATGTTGTGAAGAAAAAAATTTTTTTTAATTTTTTTGTTTAACAATTGTTAACACAAAAATTAAAAAAAAATTTTTTTTCTTCACAATATTAAAGTATTCTTGAAACCGTACTTTTGTTTAAAAAATTTTTTTCTATCTTTCTATCTAGAAAATCAAATCGGTTCCGAACAGTTGTAAAACTTCCCTTGATCCTGTTTGCTGAATCGTAGTCAGAAATCCATTTTAGGACATAGAAAAAGAAGAATGTTAACGCGGTGTGATTTTAAGACGAAGTCCGTTTGCGTTGACCAACACTAATTCGGATATAAAACGCAATTGGTCCTCTTTATCGAGAGCTTCCACACGGAATGCTTTCAGCAGTGATAAGATGGCTACTTTAACTACTAATGTGGCAAATTTCCAGCCGATGCAATTGCGCGAGCCAGCGCTAAAGGGTATAAAAGCGTAAGGAGGTAATTTGGGACTACCGGGCAAGAATCGCTCCGGACGATAAATGTGCGGCTCTGGGAAATAACGATCGTCACGATGTAGTAAATAGGAGTTGATGAGAACTGTCGAACCAGGTGGAATTTGATTGCCCACTAAAAACAGATAAAAGACATTTCATGTAAATAAGACTTTTTTATGTGCATTACGCGATTGTTGATTAGATAATAGCTATTCATCGCATTTTAAAGTTATTTGTTCTAACAATTACTTGATAAAATACTCGATACAACGCTCTATTAATATTGATCCATGTGATAATCAATAATTGTAATAATTTTGATATAATATTGATTAATATAAAATGGTATAATTGATATTTGGAATATTTTGGAAATTGAAGATATGCGAGTGTTTAGACTAAACTCAGTAAATGTTCATTACGCGAATTATTTTACATCGGCATATTATATTCAGACTCATATAACTCATATTATCAAACATGTGTGCTTGTTATCGATTTACTTTCAACGATTATTTCCGTCGACAATTATTCTGTTCAAACCGCGCTTGTTACCGGTACCGACACTGTCAGAATTCATGATAGTGTTCTACCGATCAGCTGTTTACTTCGTGTCACACGATATATACATTCGCAACCTTTCCTTTGTTCTCGCGAAGCGAAGGATATCTCTCGATACGTGTGTATACCTATCGCTTAACGATCAAGTTCAGTTGACTTCGAATAAAGCTCAGCAGCACATCTCATTGTACATCGCTTTAATTCTCTATTCTTTTCGACACCTTCTGACTTCTCGTGATTGTTCGCGTATAATTCCGACATCACCAGCGGACCTGGTTTCCGGTACCACTTTTCTTTCGCAATACTCACAACAGTGAGGTACTTACTTATTTCAATTGGTTTGTAAATTTGCCTTGCTATAAGCGGGGTCACAGGATATAATCTCCACTGTTCCTTAATGCAGGCTTCCAACCATGTTAATTTTTGTATATTCTCCAATGTAATTTCATCCGTGTCCAGCACATTGTATTCCTCTAAAATTTTTTCCTAAAAATAAAACAAGAAAGCGCTACAGTTAAATTAATGTTAAAAATAGAAAAAGATAACATTTTCAATTAGATCTTCTGCATCTTTTTAATTAATTTTATAATTTAAGAAATATATCTAATTCGGACGAAATGTTAAAATATAATTTTCTTAAGGTTGTTAAAAATTATATCAGAGACATATATATCAAATGCCCTATTTATTAGATTTTATCGTGTATTAGAATTAAACATAGCATTGATAATACAATATAGAAAGGAATAATACCTGATATTCAGGGTGTCGTCCTAGCGCATAAAGTGTCCATGATATGGTGGTGGCCAATGTATCGTGTCCAGCATACATAAAAGTATTTACTTCTTCACAAATGTCTTCGTCCGAAAGGACAGTGCCATTTTGTGATATTTGCAATAATAAATCCAGCAGGGCCTGTCTCTTCTTCGATGATTTGTTGGAGTTGTTATCGCTGTTGAGTTTCCATTCGGCTTTTCTTTTTACGATTACCTGAAGATTAGATTGTTCTAAATATTATCGCGTATTATTTGCAAGTAAAATATTGAGAATGGAGAAATATTATAAGTCAGTTTTCTTACTATTCTTTCTTACTATTCTGATCTAAAACATGTGTTTGAAAAAGTCCAAGATTGAATTCACTATAGAAGGAAATTAAAATACAATGATTTTCTTTGTATAATGTACGAGTACAATGAAATGAGAGCAACTGCACTGAAGAAAAGAGGTATTTATCTTTTTTTTTTTCCATTCACGAACATGCGAGTCTAAATTTGAAACGAAAATTGACCTGAACTGAAATTTTAGTGATTAATCTTGTACACAAAATAGGTAGTAATGAGATAGCGTTAATCTTTGTTATTTGTGGCAATAATGTTACTCGAGATCTCTCAAAAAACTGGAGCAGCTGTTGAAGATAAGTCGAAGGCTTTAACTATCTATGTTTAGAATAATGATTACCTTGTTGACAAAGTCCTGTATGATTTGAATTGAACGGTCGTGTTCTTTACCCGTCTTAGTTAACTTGAAAATTGAATCTAATGATAACCATACATTTGTGAAGCGCATCTGCACAATAGATGCAATTCTAAAAATTAGAAATAGATATTTTAAAAAAATAGGATTCGATATGTACATTGTATAAAAAAACCTGAATACAGAAGCATTAAAAAAATCAAATTTAACTTACTTATCTACAGCCTCGACGTAATCGACTTTGCAGTTCTTTTGTGAATTAAGTTTGTAACCCATTGCAGTATCTGTAATAAAATTGGTAAAATTAAATTAACTGTTAAAAATAATTAGTTATTATTATTAATTAAATTATTAAAATTAAGTTTAGATAAAAAAATTTTGTAA